CTTCCACCACACCTTAACCTACCATTATTATTACCAAGGAAACACGTCTTTATTCCTAACTTCTTGTGAACTCAGAACTCTGGTGATAGGATGATTTCCCGGTTGCAATTCTTTTACCATGTCGTAGCTCAGTCGATTAAGGCAGCGTCTGGGATCCTCTCGGTCGTAGGTTCGAACCCTCGTCACGGTGCGCCTGGGTGGACAGCGTTTCGGATTCGTAGTCCTGAGGTTCCGAGTTCGATCCCCGGTGGAGGCGGAGAAAAATGGGCAAAATGTTTCTTTCACCCTGATGCACCTGTTACCTAGAAGTAAATAGGTACCTGGGAGTTAGACAGCTGCTACAGGCTGCTTCCCGAGGGGTGTGTGTAACAAAATGGAGGTCTGGTCGAGGACCGGGCCGCGGGGACGCTAAGCCCCGAAATCATCGTCTCAAGATAACGGCCCTTGTGGATTTGTTCACTTGTTGTGAAATTACCTTTCACTTTCCATTTTATTAAAAAAATTCTAGTATTTTCTCTTCTTCCTGCACCGTTCTTCGCAGCATTTACTTATATATTTATTGTGGTTACAACTTATTTGTTGTAATGAATTAAAACCCGTATCCTCTTTGAAATATTATTGCCTATTAATGTTGTACGAGTATTAGATTACACAGCCTGTAGGAGTGAATGAGATACAGACGGATAATTGGGATGGATGGTTGGGCAAATGAATAAGTGCATTGAGAAATGGAAGGAGAGATAAATGGGTGAACGGATGGAGGGATGGATAGGTAAATGGGGTAAGGTTGGATGCATCCTTTCACGAGACACTAACCTTTTGATATCATATAGCTTGTTAGATCTTTAAAAACTTGAATCTCACCACTTAAGGAGTCTCTCTTCACAAGATAAAAGTTTCAGTTCTGGTGCGAGCCTCGTTGCAAACCTCCGGATATTATCTAATTTGAATTTATAATTCTTCAGGAGAAGGTTCTATGTATATGCTGCATACTCCAGGGCCTCGCTTATGACGTACAGTGTTCTGAAGATCTCCTGGTTCTTTAAAGTTATTATGTGTGTTAGTATCGCCTATGTTGTTGCCCCTAATCGTGCATCTCCAGTATCTCTGTAGTGGGATGTTGACTTGTAGGTATTTTACCATTACTGGTTTAAAAAGTCTCCCACTCATTCCGCATTATTCAGAGGATCTTGTTGCTCGAAAGTTCTCACTGCATAACATATGCCTGCGTTGAAGTCAAGAAACCATTCCTCGACAATCCGTGCAGCAGACAATCCCTTCTGTATCTTTTAACATCAAATTTTGTTTTTATTCAGTATCTTCTCACACATTTGTCATTTTCAGCAAGCACGAATGTTTCGAATACCCAGTTACGTCAAAGGCATACATCAGGATGAGTGACCCATCTCCACTCTCAACTGTGTAACATCACTGTTTACTATCGGAAAGGCATATTTAGCGCCTTTCAGTTGGTTACTCCTGCTTGGTTATCAAGTTGATGCAAAAGTCTCTCACGAGGAATGTTATCAAATGCTGTCTGACCTTCGAGGATTTAATAATCTGCCATCCTTTCCTTCTTTATCATTTCCTAGTTATACAATTTTAGTGACTCGTTACAAACGAGCCAACTCAAGGTCCTTTGTACCTTCTCCGAGTCATTCCGGTGTTTGGTTATTAGATTCTACCTAAAACAAGTTTGTACTTACCTAGCTGTGCTTGCGGGGGTTGAGCTCTGGCTCTTTGGTCCCGCCTCTCAACTGTCAATCAACTGGTGTACAGGATTCTGAGCCTACTGGGCTCTATCATATCTACACTTGAAACTGTGTATGGAGATAAAGATAAATGATAGAAATGAGAGGGAAGGAGAGGCTTTATTCACCTATAAAGCGATTAGTGAACAAAGGGTATAAGCTAGAACATGAGATTGACTTAATTACATTGAAACACATATACACTAGGGGAGATAAAGACAGACTATTTAACACCAGGGGTACACGCACTAGGGGACACAGGTGGAAAATGAGTGCCCAAATGAGCCATAGAGACATTAGAAAGAATTTGTTCTGTGTCAGAGTAGTAGACAAATGGAATGCATTAGGAAGTGATGTGGTGGAGGCTGTCTTTATCTACCCTAGTGTATGTGCATGTGTTTCAATGTAATTAAGTCAATCTCATGTTCTAGCTTATACCCTTTGTTCACTAGTCGCTTTATAGGTGAATAAAGCCTCTCCCTACCTCTCATTTCTATCATTTATCTTATTTGACTCTCTCCCGTCCCTCTCATTTCTCTCACTTATATTTTCCCCCTTCCCCTCTCTGTGTCCGCGTCTATCTCTACCGACATTTTTTTTTAGGTGTCCCTCTTGGAGATGTGTGTTGGTGATGACTGGGGCTTTGGGTGGTGCCTCTACCACACTCGAGCCCCAGGTGACCCTGCCATGTTGTCATCAACACATACTTGCCTATTATAGCAAAAGTATGATATATATTATTTGTAAACCTTTTCAGACATCAGGGAATAAGGTACACATCAAGAAAAAAAATATTATATATATATGCGAACAAGCCTGAATGGTCCCCAGGACAATATGCAACTGAAAACTCACACCCCAGAAGTGACTCGAACCCATACTCCCAGGAGCAAACGCAACTGGTATGTACAAGACGCCTTAATCCACTTGACCATCACGACCGGACAAAATGAGGTGATAGCCGAGGCTATTTGAACCACCCCACCGCCGGCACTCGGATAGTAATCTTGGGCATAGCATTTTACCAAATCACCTCATTCTTTGGGGCACACGTGAGGAACACAAATGCGAACAAGCCTGAATGGTCCCCAGGACAATATGCAACTGAAAACTCACACCCCAGAAGTGACTCGAACCCATACTCCCAGGAGCAAACGCAACTGGTATGTACAAGACGCCTTAATCCACTTGACCATCACGACCGGACAAAATGAGGTGATAGCCGAGGCTATTTGAACCACCCCACCGCCGGCACTCGGATAGTAATCTTGGGCATAGCATTTTACCAAATCACCTCATTCTTTAATGAGGTGATTTAAGGCACCGTGTACACCAGTTGCAATGTGCTCCTGGCGGTCCGGGTTCGAGTCACTTCTGGGGTGTGGAGTTTTCAGTTACCTACATCTAAACATACATGCATACATCTGCACATATGTACACACCATCACGCATGTGCCTGACCTTTTCGTATACACTTAGGTGAAGCAATTATAAACTCTGTTTTTTGCAATACCTTCCATTGGCTATTTATAGTGGAAAATCATTAAGTCGTATTGCACAAATGCATGTTAGTATACTGAGCTAATTAACCTCATAGTGCACTGTTAGCAGTCCCCAGCGAGCCCAATATTGTAATGTTCAGCGTGTCTCTGAGCGAGAACGATAAAACACGTAAAACCAATTTAATATTTTGTTGTACACTATTTCAAGCTGTAAAAAATTCACTCATCTTTCAGAATTTCTGATTTCTTGCGGCAAAGAATTACGAACGGAATAGCTGAAGTGTGTTAATATATACTGTATAAAAATGTAAGTTGATTAAAATTTAAATTAAAATATTAGCATATAAGTAACAGGATGGAGTGCCCGGCGGTGCCCGGGTTGACCCCAAAACATTGCCGGCGATTGATCTGGTTCCCCAGGTCGACCCAGACACCAAACGTTGCACCATGTCCCCCTTCCTCCCCCCCCCCCCCCGTCCTGCCTATGAGTCCTTGCACTTGCATAGTCATTTTTTTGTATTAACACATTTAGGAGACGCACATGGGAGCAAACGTTATCTATACTGACTACTTTACAGCTTAATGTTTAGCTAGGGAGACGGTAGTATTTGTGTGTGTGTGTGCGCGCGCGCACGCTCGCCGGGGTGTTTGAATAGTCTTAAATAAATGTTCATTTTGAACTCTTGTAAATTTTGTACAATGGACTTGTTTCTGTTGCATAGAAAATGTTGCCGTTTACAATTTCGATTTTTTCTTTTGTTAAGCTACTTTATTATCTTGCATTCATGATCGTGGCTAGCCGCTAAACCATTTGAATGCACAGTGTATGTTCAAAGACCTACTCGAAACCTTTTACCAAGTATAAGCAGGAGAGAACCATCGGCCACGGTGCCGTGAAGAAAACCCTAGGTAGTCCTAAGCAAACAAGTTCAAGGAGAGACATATTGTGTTGGACATGCGGGAAGAAAGGACACGTGTCTGCTAAGTGTAAGAGCAGGGCAGGTAACGACCCGCATAGGGAAGGTATGCTAGTGAGTTGAGCGACTCCACCAGGTAGAAACCCATTCCTGGGGAAAGATACGAGGGAGAAACCAGGATTGACTAGAGCACACACTAGAAGGTGAAGGGACGACGACGTTTCGGTCCGTCCTGGACCATTCTTAAGTCGACTCTCAAGTCGACAACTCATCGACTTGAGAATGGTCCAAGACGGACCGAAACGTCGTCGTCCCTTCACCTAGTGTGTGGTCTGGTCAACATACTTTCGCCACATTATTGTGACTCATCGCCTGCAGAAACCAGGATTGTTTGCCCCATACACCTCGAAAGGGTATGTATCGAGTGACCAGTATGGTAGGTCAGTAGTAATCCTCAGAGGTAATGGAGCAGCCAATCTCTGATTTTGAAGAACCCATTACCCAAGGAAGTGCCTGGCTGAAGGGAAGCAAAGTGTCATTTTCGGTGTGTTTCCCTCGACTTTGTATGTTGCCCTCTTAGTAGAGGTTCATTTGGAATCCCCATATTTCAATGGCATGTGTACATGGGCAGTAGTAGACCATCTTGCTATTGAAGGAATAGAAGTCATAGTGGCCAATGACTTATCTTAGTGTTTGGACAGTAACCATCCCATAGTTGTTGCTGATCCTGTAGAAGATGTGGCAAGGCCAGTAGTAGCTGTACCAACCAGATCCCAGGTAAAGACTCAATTCTGATTGGACGATTTGTTTAACCCTACACCTCTCCACAGGTTGCTGACAGTACTCCATCTAACTCTCTAGTCTACTCTCGAACCGAAGCACTGGACTAGAGCAACCTAGTTTACAGAGCAAGATAAGGACCTCCAGGTGAAAGCACTCGCGGATACGACAGAGTCCAGTTGGAAGGCAGGTCATCAGTACTTCTGGAAGGCTATGGTGCTGTGCCGGAGGTATCGACAAAGAACACCCAGACTCCAGAGGTAGGTAAGCAGGTAGTCGTGCCCTCAGTGTTAAGGATCAAGCTGTTGAAAACAACTCATGATGGATTATTGTCCGGACATTGCAGGATTGCGAAAGTTTTACATCGCCTAGCCAGATGTGTCATTTGTATTTACCTCGTCTTTGCAATAAGATTTGTGCCGAATGAGTCACTGGGCCTATCTCCATTGGCGATAGTGTATAGTCACACAGCACGAGGACCATTGGAGGTGAGCAAGGACCAGTGGTCAGACAGAGCAACATGGATGCCCTGGACTGGTTACCTACACAGAGGCAGGTTCTTTGCTCCATGAGAACTAGCCAAATAAAACCGGTTACATTCTCAGGTAACTGACAAGAAGAGATACGACGACAAAGCGACACCCAGGGAATTTCAGGTAACCAGTTCTTTCCTAATTCCTTGTCTAATTTCTGCTTCTTGTTGGTCATTTCTGGTTTTGACTTCCAAATGCACTTCCTTGATCGTCTCTTTCTCTTTTCCAACTTACGCACACGTCTCTTTAATTTCCTCTTTGTACTTTTCTAGTTCATTATTAACTTCCTCTATGTAAGTTGTCAAAGAAGTTTCTCTTTGCATATCCTCGCCTAACTCCATGTTGGTCTTTGGCGTTCCTTGGAGTTGTTCACCATATCAGTCTACTTTCTTGTTAATTTCTTCAAATACATCACTTTTTCCATACCTCATTTTCTTTCACTACTTCCTTGATT